CCCTTCACTATCTCAGGGAAGCGTTTTTAGTCTGATCTCAGACAGTATTTATTTAATAAAAATAAAGTGAGTAAATAGTAAAATTCTGATATAACTGTAAAAACCTTTATTTTCGTTTTTTTTTTATATTTTTCTAAAACATTGAAATATACTTTTTTGTTTTTTGATAAATAATTTATGTAAATATAAAATATTATTAAAGTCATTATTTTATATTATTTATAGTAATTTACATATTTTTTAAATGATTGCACTGTGATTTATGATTCAGATATATAATCTGAGAAGATTTGGTAATAGAATAAAAGTAATTTTTTTACTAGTGTACTAGACTGATGAATGCAATCGAATATGTTGGAGATTATACTATTTCATATTAATTTATAAGTATCGTAGATAAAACAGGAACTTGCGTTTTTCAATCGAAACTTTTAGATAATTTCATCTTCACTTTTAATTTCTGTTCTGCTCGTTATTTATTCCTGGAACACAGTCTTGCATTTATAGACTTACAACGTACAACATAATGCGTATACGCCTTTTTTATTTCATTATTTTCATTCTCTCATCCTTGTATATATGCGCATAGCTAAGCATTATCCTCGTAGCATCTATCACGCAACCATTGTTAAGCGTGATAAGTGTACCGTTGTATTTTCATAAATTGATACAACTAGATTTTAAAAATGGTACTATGAAAAGCTTAGATGCGATCGTACATTTGTACCACGCATTTCTACATTTTCGCTAGTGGTTCTCAAATGATTAAACCATGGCATTTCGCAACAACACAATCTGAGAGATCATAGTACAGCATAGTGAGCGATATAAAATTAGCTTATTTATGACCGTTATTCTTCAGACTTTTCAAATGAATCTTGTTTAAAATTCTTGGAAAGAAATCTATAGGAATCAATAGAGAATAAGAGCCTGCAATTACTAAGTTTCTTCTGATCAAGATTCATAAAGTAATCACTAACACTACAATATTTAGATTAACCAGTTAATTGTTTATTGTAAACACAATTGATGACGGCTGTTTGGAATTCAAGCCACCCGGTGGTCAGGAGACCAAGGTGGTTTCAGTAGACCGTACCACTGGTTTAATGATGGAAGGAGTGGAGGTGAGTGAGAGCTTAGTGCATCAATTCAGTGTAAGTACAATTGGTTTTTCTGACTTTTATTTAAAGTTAAGTTAAACTTGATCAATGTTTCATCGGTAATTGTGAGTATTGTTGAGCTCATCGTGTGATCCTGACAGTTAGTAAAGAAACTACAAGGCGTCGTCCGGGTGTGCAAGATGAGACTGATATTATCTGCGGGCGTGTGACAAGTCGTAGCGCCCTTGTAACAGTATTACGGAAATTTCTCTCTCTCTGTAGGCGTGTTATTAGTAGCAGCATCTCTCCTCAGTAGATATAAGTATTAGGTTCGCTGGAGATACGTGGCCGATCGTGGAGATCCTTAGCGATATATTTGGACCAGCCTCGCAGTAGGTAGATTGTGAATGATTGCGTCAGGTAGACACTAAATTCCACGATCATATATGAGCGGTGCAAGTCGAAGAAAATCAGTCTTATTGAGTAAGTCAAAGTGAAATAATGCAAGTCACAACAGTTAAAAGTTCCACACGTCTGTCTATGGAAATCCGTGCAAGGTATACTTATTAGTTTACATTATTTATTATTCATTACGACATTGTGTTGGTATTATCGGTCAGGCCTCTGTAACTTGATTCTTATCAAACCGCGGAAGAGGGCGCCGGTACTGTTAGATAGTCCCCACAAGTCATACCACGCCGATTCTCTCCCCTGTAAAGATCGCTGATGCAAGTGCCTATAGTCTCGTGACTCTTGCGATTCTCTCCTCTGTAAGGTACAATAAAAGGTGCCCAGTACAACCAGACCAGTGTTGCCTTGCACTCATGTTTAACATTTATTTTACACATGTTTTACAGTTATTTCCAACTGTTAGAATCATGACGAGCTCAACAATTCTCACAACGACCGGTAAAACCAGCTACCAATGTAAAATAACCTTAAATAAAAGTCACTAAAACCAATTATGTTTATACTTAATTGATGCATTAACCTCCCACTCATCCCCTCCTTTTCCACCATTAAACCGGTGGTACGGTCTAATCCAACCACCTTGGTCTTCGGACTATTCTGGTGGCTGGAATTCCAAACAATAACAGATCTTGATCTTATGTTAAACACGTTACTTCAAATTAAAATATAAATTTCTAATGAATATATTTTTTAACTCAGACCTTCATACACTAATGTAAATACAAATTTCAATTGTTCGAAACTGTTTGATTTTGTGGCTCGAACTGACAATGTTCAATAGTTCAATTTAATTTTTCGTCGGCGTTAGTGGATGCTTAGGTAAGGACTTAAGTGGAACGCTACTTGATAAGGAGTATTTGGATACCATGCTTCCTGTAGTTGAATATTTTTTTGTAATGCAGTCAGCACCCTTGACTATTTGTTAACTAATACGCACTAGAGAATGATGTGCGTTCCCTTTGTAATGGCTTCACTGAAAGAGCGACTGTTCCATGGCGGTCCTGCTAAGACAGTCCGTGTTCCTTCCATAACATCCCCAGTAAGAGAGAGCCATTTTTTCCAATAAGCTAGCGCGCTTGCCTTAAATATCCACAGGACAGCCAAGTTAGCGCTGATAACAATGGATGCGATTGTGCACCTTTTTTTGGATGTAACGACTTTTTCCAGATATCCAACGACCGTTCGAGTTTTGCCAGAAATTCTAATGCTTGGGAAATTCCCGAAACCTAAACATTCGAGAAATTTTCGGAATCTCGAACACAAATGCATAAAAATATTATATTAAATATAATACAGTATTTTCAATGTATCCTTACAATAATTTTAATAGAATCCAATACTATAATAAAATATTGTTTATTCAAGACAAGTAATATTATCATAATATAATCGTAACTCTTTAACAGATTTATTTACAAATGAAAAATCAAAATCAATATACACACTAAAAACGTGCATAGAAATTCCAAATTATTTAATATCAGTAATTCAATTGTTTTGCAATTATGTCTTTATTCTTTTAAACGTTGTTTATTTCAGTAAAAATATGATTCTTTAGTTTTATACCTTTTGAATCTCAAATAGTACTTAAATAATTTTTAGTTCAATACCATTTTGTATTAATAATTTGAGAAATAACATGCATATGTATTATTTTTAAATATATTTTATTACAAAGTGAATTTTGCCAAATTTATTCATGTTTTATCTAATATTTAATAAATAACTTTTGTGATTAGCATTAATACCTCACTTCAAATAATTTTGATAATAATTTATTTTTATCTAATATATTACAAATATGCTATTGAATTTTTATATTCAATAAAATTAATTTTGTAAATTTGTTTCACATTTCTTTATTTTTTCGTAGAAAAATCTGCCTGCTTAAATTTAATTTATTATGATATCAACATCATAATTTCATCAAGAAATTTTTGTTTTTATTAAATTAAATTTTATTTTGTAACCCTAGAATAAGGTAGAGTTCTTATTGATACGTTTATTAAATAATCGGTGGTAAAAAACTTTCCATGAAGGAATGAAATAGAATAAGTGAACAATGATAAAAGGCGATATAGTATTTAATCGCAATAAAATAATTGAAAAAAAAAGTATCAAGCAATTAGAATGACCAACTTTCGATATTATAAAATCGCATCAGTTTAGAATAAAATAACGGCGACCGTCAATAAAAGAATATCTAATATCAATAAGTAAATTTATATCGATTAAATTGAAAATATATAGTTAATGTATGTAAATACAGAATGAATATAGTATCCATTTACACAATTAGTTGTCGATTCCGTTTTCTGTTAAACACCTTATGGGATGTTGCTACTGGATTATGCACTTGTTAAAAATTAAGTGCTGTACCAAAGACTTATAGTATTTCGATCTTTTATTCCCTTTGATCACTGCCTTTTTTAAAAATAATTTAATGATTTTAGTTTTCTACCTAATACTATCTTTGTGGAAATTTCAAACGATGTCATTTTATTATCATAACGACTAGTAATAGTGAACATGAATAATTAAATTTTTAACAAAGAAATTATATTTTGAATTAAAAAATGCATAAAAAATGTAAAGGCCCTTTTACAATACTCAATGCTACATTTAAATTATTTATTGAATTATTTGTAGTTTTAATTCTGTAATCATTATTTTATTTCCATGGCTAAGGATCGTTGAGTTTTTAGTATTCACAACCTATTTATAATTAATTAAAATTCTAACTTAATATTTTTTATATTTAAAATACGTGTCTTATATTTTACATGGTAATATAATAACATTTATGAAAAATTTTAATTATATGATTATTAAATACATACAATGTTATTTAACACTATGAGCTTATCACACAGTAGTTAATGTATACAAATTAATTTATATTATTCAATGTATTTTTAAAGAAATATAATTTTATAAATCAAAATTGTGAAAGTAGTATATATACAAATATAATTGAAAAGTAAATGGAAATATTTATATATAATAATTCATTTTGCAAATTGTTTTTTTCCCTTTTTTTAATATTGATGTTTTAAAAATGTATGAAACTTATTTTTTTAATAACAAAATAAAAATATACATTGTACTTTTATTTTAAAAAATAGAAAAAGAGGCTATATAATTTATTATTATATATAGTTATATTAAGATAAAAAATTTATCTTAATTTGAAACTTCAATAACTATTTTTTACAGATGAATATTAAGAAGCTTTCACTAATAAAATTAAAATAAAAATTAATCCTAATGTGAAAGCGTTATATAAAATATTTATTTTACATTGATAATTTAGTTTGCATATTCAATTTTCAATAAATTCATGAATATACATTTTATATTGTTGTTATGAAAATAATCTTTTATTTTATACTCTTTTATTTGTACACATTATTTTTATCACTTCTTAGTTTTAATAGTTTTACACAAGTTCTAATATTTTAATAATACCCTGAGAATTTGCAGCAACAACAACATTAGACATTTGTCGCCAACAGACTGCTGAAACAAATTCATTTAGATCTTCTTCGCGTTTTTCCTGTATTTCTAAAATGCTTTTAGCTGCATCAAATTTGTATGAAAATAACTGTTTTGTGAGTCCTTTATAGTAAACATAAAGTGCATTGTTTTCAGATCCACAAGCTACATAATCTCCATCTGTAGCTAAACCTACAAAATTCTTTTCATTAACATGACCTACAAAGGAGCGCAAACAGTAAGGATTATTAATATTCCACATTTTTAATTGTGAATCTGTGCTAGCTGATACTATTTCTTGTTCATTAACAAATTTGACATATGATACAGCCTTTTTATGTCCCTTGAATATACAAAGTGCTTCTTTCATGTTTCTTAAATCATAGTAGTGTACACAATGATCTGCTGATCCAAATGCTAGATGACATGAACTACGCGGATTAAATTTTACACAGCATACATTGGCCTTTGCTTCAAGTGAAGCAACTGAATGATCCATATTTAATGACCACAATTTTACTCGTGCATCATCTGAACCAGATGCTATAAGTCTTGTATCAATATCATTGAAATCAATTGACCAACATCTTTTTTCATGTTCATGAAATGCTTTTGTTCTCTGTCCTGTCATTGCATCCCAAACTGTAACTGTACCTTCATAGTCTGATGAGGCCAAAATACCTTTATGAAAAGAATTCCATGAAACACATGATATTTTTGAAGTTGAAGTCATTTCAATACATGGATAATGAAGATCTACTGTGCCTCGAATGACAATATTATAATCAAATACTTTTATTCTTTTTGTGACACCTGCAATTGCAAAAAACTCATTGTCTTTATCAAATTCAATACTTGAAACAATAGTTGAATGATTAAATATATCAGAAGAATAATTCAAAGTAGCTAATGGTCTCAAGGAATTAAAACGTGAAAATTTTATAAGGTCTTCACGGAAAATGTTTAATCCAGAATTGGTTGATTGAAAATCAGAATTATTAGCAGCAAAATGTAGTTGTTTTGCCCGAGCATCAAAATAACATTGAACAAAGTCATCAAAGTGAGCATGCATTCTTCGACGCCGAACTGCTAAAGTTGAACTACTGGTTAAATCATATTTACATTGATTATTGGATGAGTTAATATATGGACTAGAGAATACATTTGCTTCCTCACATGATTTAATGGTACTAGAATCAATTATATTAATTAAATTTATCATTTCTTTCCGAATAGCAGTAACTTGTGCTGAATCATATTCAGTAGGTTTTTTAATATCTTCTAAACGTGGACATTTTTTTTGTAAATCTTTTAAAATATTTTCCACTTCTTTAATGTCTCGTTTTATAAGAGTAACTTCTTTTTGCAATTGATTTCTTTGTTCTTCTTTTTGTGTTAAAAGATGTTTAAGAAATTCATATAACAATCTATTTTGTGCAGCATAAGATTCTGCTTCAAGTAAGTGTTTACGTTGAATAAGTACTTCTAACATAGCATTTACATCAGGTAAACTTAGATTTATACTGTCTGATGTTATAAAATTACGTAAGCCATCGGAAATTCCTGTGGAAGAATCTAATGCAAGGAAATTATTTTTATTATCTCTTGCTAAGGCATGATCAAATGCTGCAATACCTTTGAAACGAGATTTGTATTTTGCAATCAATTCATTTAGAAGAAAATTAGGAAAAATATCTTGCTGAATTAAATTAATATTACATTTTGGACATTTTCCTAATGTTTCTAAAGATCTAATGATGCATTTATAACAAAATGTATGTCCACATCTTGTTACATGTGCTTCTTCTATTGTTTCAAAACAAATTGGACATAAATAATCACTATTTTTATCTTCTATTGTTGAATTAACTCCCTGCATAAAGGTTATTATTTGAGTTTGTGGTCTACTCAATCGATGATTATATGAACTTGTACTTGTACCAGCCTCATCTCCATCAGTAGACATGTTTAATTTGTAATTTTGTACTTGAAATTTATTCTAAAACAGTAAACCAAGTAATTCAACTAATAAATGATATAGTAAGAATAAAATTTAAGAAAATGTTATTTATACATATATTTATCACCTAATAATAATACATTACAAAGTTTTTCATGCATTCAATGTGTATCCCTATTATATAGTACTATATATTAGCAAGATATACATATATATACAAATTTTTTTTTAAATCCTCACAGTTATTATATAAATTAAAATATTTACAGATTTATTAATAGTAAATTACTTTTTTTTTTAATGAATTTCTTTATTTTATATTTAAATTATATAAGATCATCTTAACAATTTTCTTATATTTAAAAATATATAATTCATTTAATATAATAAAAATAATATTAATATTAAGGTATTAAAATTTTATATAATTAATTATTATATTTTTAACCTTATTTTAATGAACAAAATATAGTTTTGATTACAATACTATAAATTTTTTATATTTATATATAATTTTATTTCTTTATTTTTCTATGTAAATTGTAAAGTAAAAAAACAAATATAAATTAATATAAACCAATAAATTATCCCTATTTAAATTATTTTTGTAAGATCTTATTCTTTATATATTATCAACTTTTAAATAAGGTTAGAACGAAAACGTTCATGTTTATTCCATCATTAAAAAATAAATTCTTATTTAATTAATTTAATTTAAATATTTATTTATTTACAGTAAATTTCAAAAATAAATATTATAACCTCAAACTTTCTAATATCTTCAAATTTGTGATCATTCGTATTTTCAATTATGATTTATTAATTATCTTAAGTTATATTATTTTTTTATACTTTTTACTTATAATAAATAATAATTTATTATAATAAAAAAACCTTGTAAAATCCATAATTAAACATTAAATGTGAAGTCGACCAAGTTCGTGTCAGATTTGTGCCATTCTAAATTATGACCTAGGAATTATAATGATTTTAGATGACTAAATATTTAATTTATCTTCAATAAAAGAACATGTAAGACAACTTTGACAATATTATATTAATAATTATCTGAAATAAAGCTACACCAGCTTATAAACAATTCGTAAAACATAACTGTGACATAAATACACAATTAAATATTAACCAAGTATCGTTTCAGAATATAAAAAATTCTAAAAAAATGCAATTATACATTTATTATAATAATATAATAAAAATACTGAGCTCTTTGTAGGTACTCCAAACCTTTTGGCATAACAATCGATAATAAAGCAACTATTGAATTAATAAGAGACAAAATTCGTTTACATATGATGGCCACATTGTCGATTACCAACCTTACGAATCAATTGTGTGTATCCAAAAAACTGTAACATAGAATAGATTCACTTTCAAATCAAAGAAATATGTAATCAAACTACAGAATGAAATTATTACAGTTAAAAAATTGCTTATATACGGTATAATGATTATATTTTTACTTTAGTATGTGTTACCAAATCATTTACTTGTAGAAAGGATCATAATGTAACATATAGATTTGTGTCACATTAAAATTATGAGAGCGTGAATATTGTATATAAATTATTTAAGATCTATAGTATATGATCTGATAAAAATAAAATTAATTAAACAATATTAATTATTAATGAACTATTAAATAAATTTTTGTGTTCAAAATCAATTAACCTATTATATAAATTTCTATAAGTTAAAAGTTATAAATAATAATTAATTGTGTAAGATAATATATGTAGTTTACTACAATTTATATATTCCTATTAAATATTGTGTCATATAATAAGCAATATAAAGATTAAAAACAAATCAAATAGAAAAGAAATCGTAAAAATTGTATAAAACTAATATAATCAATTCATTAAGAAATAATGTTTTGTATAATAATGAAGCTGTATTCTATTAGTATTAAGAAATATTATAACAAAGAGAAAAACAATCAATAATTAAAGAAGTTTAAGTAATAATTGTATTCGAACTCTCAAGCTAAGAGTATGTGTCTTTTTATTTTATTTAAGTTTTTTATTTAAACAATAGGACCATAGGGGTATTCCAATTTCTACGAAAAAAAATTAGTATTTGTTTAAAATAGTAGCTAATGCGATATGGTTTCTCTCTCCCTCATTCTCACACTCACTCTCTGTTTCGTTATAACAATTTTTAATCAAAGCGTACTTTTTCAATTGTATTCTCTCTATTTCTTTGCATGCATTAGCTTCAGATATGTTTTCTTTTTCTTGCTATGATAATCTAAATTATAAGCACTTTCTCTCTCCCACTGTATATTCCTGCAAATTTCTCATTTTGGAAGTTCTGTTATGGTTACGGTACCATATCGATCAGAGTCCTTATCCTTTTCTTTAGACCTACAAGAATTGATTAGATCTCTCACTCTTTTTACTTTCCTACTACGTCTCATCGCAAATTCCTAGGATATCTCGTCATCATAAATATTAGAACTACTTGTGACATACTTGTACTATAACCGCTATACTATAAATCTCTTAACTAATATATATTTATTATAGCTATTTCGTATAGGAATCTCTTATTGAAGCACTATTTATAAATTAGTATTAATTATAATATAACCGTATCAGTTAAATTTATTATAAATTATAAGTAGAATTATAATTAATTTAAGTTTTAGATATAGAGTATAGAGTAGATATAAAGTAAATAAATTATATAATTGTATAACTTATTTAACTTATATAACTTATATTATATAAATTCATGACATTGTTCTATTTTTTATATTGCTTTCTATTATTATATTATATACATTTTTTAACCATTGATTAACATTCATTATTATATTCTTCACTTATAAAAATACAGTAACTCAATTAATAAACTGTGCATCAATTTATTCACTCTCGTCCATTCAACGTAAAAATCTTGATCTTATTTATTTTTAATAAGAAATCAAGATCAAATAAAAAACTGACGAAGCTAGAGTGTTATTTATTGTACTACAATAATATAATAAACAAATACAATAACTTTTTCAATTTTATTTATAATTAAAAATTTGATCAAATTAATTATTTTAAATATAATCCAGCAGTGAAAACTAATAAAAATATTTATTTTCTACTATCAATAGATGGTGAACATAGATATGTTGAAGCATATAGATACTGATATTGGTATTTCGATAAATAAATTATGATTGAAAATGAAATCACACTGTATATTTATTTAAAATTACATCATAAATGTATATGGAGGGCTTATTTCTATAAATCACCATATTAAGCTGGAATGTTTATATCATTAAAAGACGATGACATCAATTGAATTGATTGTTGAAAAATTATAAAATTAAAAAAAAATGAAAAAATATATTTCAAGACTTCGTATATATATTACAGAAATTTAAAGACTGTTTTACAACAATTGGGTTTGTGTAAAAAAGATTTAAAAGGTGTAATTAGAAATTTTACTAAAATTCATATGAACAATTAAAATCTAAATAAACTAATTACTTTTAGATAAAATGAAATAATTTTAACATTTTCAGAACAATAAGATATCTGAAAATAATTTTTATTTTATTATGTAATATTCCATATTAAATTATATTAATGACGATTTATGAATCAAAGTACACATGTTTTTTATTTTATTTCTGATAATTGTAATCTTATCAGCCCAATTAATTTCATAATAGCCATCATTTAAGTATTCGATAATTTTCCAATTTTGATAATTAATAGAGTAACAGTCTGATTATGTCAATAAAGTTAGGCATTATAAAATTATTTTCCATTGTAGTATTGAAATTTGTTTCAATTGTCTAAAAATAGACATAAATAAACTGATTATAACATGAGCTTAAATATCTATAAAGTTAATAATGCAGTTATAAATATAATCAAGCAATATTATGAAATGTTCATTAAGTCATTTATATTGTAATTTTGTAAAGATTTTTTATTTGTATTTATTTAATTATTTGTAATTATTTATAAATGATAGTTATGTGTGAACAGTATAAAAAATAATTAATGATTATATTTACTCTTGCAAAAGATAGCAAAAAAACTAATTTATTTGTAGAAAAATTCATCCATTTATAATATACCAAAATATACAACACTTAATATAAATATACCCATATGTGGTACATAAATATAACAAAAGTAAGGTGTGCTGAAGTAAATTTAATAGCATATGCCTTACATATTGCAAATTTAGTAAATAAATATTAATTATTGAATCTTTTTCATATTAAATAAGTTAAGTTATATATTTTAAAAATCGCAATTCAAATATAAACTATAAAATACTAGGTAAATTAAGTTAATTTCTTTTTCGCCTGAAGATAAAAAATAAATAAAAATTATATATAATGTATATATAATTTTTATTTATCTTCTTTCAGGTTAGAATAAACTTAATGATTGTATTAATGTATACTTTTTTATTATAAATAATTTAATTTAAATTTGAAAGATTTTTTGAAATTATCAATATTTTGTAAATAATTAAAGTATGTATTTATTAGTAATAAATATATCAACAATGATAGGAAATATTTCTTTAAGCAATGTTCAACCACTTATATGTTAAAAACAGTGTAAAAATCTAGATTTAATTTTTGATCAATGAAATTTATATATAAAAGTGTTAATAAGTTCAATTATTCATAGAAAAATAAAAAATGAGTGCATTGCATAATTTCAATACTCAATTAAGTATAATAAATTCATATGTTCAGGCATTATTTAAAAAAGTTATAATATTTGTTTTAGATGATTTCACTTATTTATTTATTTAAAGCAAAACTATAAGTAATCATTTTTGTTTGTTGTGCAATAAAATATGAATTTAAAAATTAAATTGTATAAAATTAATTTATGAGGTTAACAAGTGATTATTAACTCTAAGCTATTTATGTAGATTGTAATTAAATAATAACTTGTTTTTTTATATTTTATTATTGCTAAATATCAATATATAATTGTAAAATAAAATTTGTCATATTTAGCAATGAAATTATTTTATAATATATTTCAATACTTCATATAAATATATTATTGTCAAATATTAAAATGAATGTTTTCCAGTGTTTAAACAGTTTCTTGGGTTGTAAAATTTGTTTATGATTATGTTAATAGTATTACTATATATATTTTTCTTTTTAATACAATTTTTGTTTTTTTCACTTTATCCAATCATTATAAGTTCATCTCATGAACATGAAATTTTGCATCAGACAATAACTAATATTAATAGATAAGAATAATATCTCTACCTTTATGGATAAATGAGATTTTAAACTGATTAAAAACTAAATTGAAAAAAGCTTTATTTTCTGCATATTTAAGATTAAGTCCAATGTAATATAGTAATAGTAATAAAAAACGTATAGAATAAGTAAATATTAAATCAACTATTGATATTGTGAATCTAATAGTAAGTTTTAATATCATCATACTGTTTAACATAAGTTTTATGTCATTAATAACATGAAAAATATTATCCTGTATTTTAAATAAAGTGACAAATATAAACTCAATTCTTTTACATGATTTAGTAAATATTTTAGTAGTTATACGAAAGACAAATAAAGAATTAAATATAAAAGCAAATTATTGAATAATTTAAGAAATTTATACATATTAAATCAGATAATCTTATTTAATTATAATCATGCTTATTACAGTGCAAGTAGATTTATTATATTATATTTATTATTATAATAAAACTCCAGATATATTTTCTTTAATTATTTATCCTTAAAATTCAAAATACTGTAAATTTAATACAATTCATTGGAAATTATAAAACAAATTTTTATTAATTATAAATTAATTTTTAAATACATTTATTTTTTCTTTTTTGTTTTGGCACTAACTTCTGATTGTGGTTTCTGCCATTCTAATGGTTTACGTTGATACATTGGCCATGCAGGAACTGTAATAATTGCAGCCATTACAAAACCAGCACCAAGAATATATATTGTTTGTGAAAATTCTTGAATAATGTAACCCCAAAACAAGCCAACAATCTACATAAAATAATAATTCCAATTTATTTATAAAATATTTACCGAAATAATTTTTAAATAAACTTACACCAAATAATGAAATTATGATTCTGGATAATTTTTCAGCCCTTGCTTGTCCATCATAGTCCTAGATAAAATAAAATTATTAATAAATAATAATTTTTGGTAATTACATCATTTATATTTCTAATAAATATTTTTATATTATAAGTTCACATATGGTAAAATATAACCTTAATATTACCATATATAATAATATTTGTAAATTAACATTTTATATATAATTTAACATGTTTACCATGTGAAGAGGTATATTCTTAAAATATTCTACAATCGCTGCCATTATACAATTTGATATGCATTTGTATTTTTCTCTTTGGTATATGAATAAAATCTGATTAAAATATCGTAACTACAAATTTGAAGGCAAATTGTTGATGATTACAGTTGGCATCAGGCATTTATAGATGATAAAAAAATAGAGTGTATGCTTTTTAGACATGCGCAATTTATATAATAAGGTTATTGGTAATTATAAATGTACATAATTTGATATGAAGTTGTTAAAATTAAGAAGGTATCAAACACCGATAATAATACATATTTTGACGAAGGAAACTATATTTTCGTTTTCTCGATTTTATAAAAATATAAAAAAACTTATATAAAAATTTTAATAATTACAATTTTATTATAAACTATGATGTAAGGTTAAAAATAATTTGTATACAAGTTCTTGTTTGTAAAGAAATGTCAAATATATAATTCGAGCTATAAATATACATATTTGAATTATATTGATATATATATAATATAGTTAGAAATCTAGTTCTAAACATATATTCTTAATAAAATAATTTTAATGGAATAGAATCATTAGTATTTTAATTTTTAATTTTTCACATACGAAAGATTATTAGTAACTACGTATATATTTATGATACATAACATTATGATAAATAAAACATTGAATATATTTACAATGTCAATTATGTAATATATTATGTATCGTGGCTTTATTATAAGTAGTCTTTTTATAACAATAATAATAGATAAATATTATTTAGAAATTTTGTGTCTTATTTTTATAATTTCATTAAAAAACAAATAATATTTGCAAAAAATTTTCGAATTTAAGTATGGATTAGATAAAGAAATATTTATTATTTTTGAAGAATAAATTCAATATAAACTTAACAAAATAAAAATGTTTGGCAAATTCAAAATAATTATTACTACTGAGATCGATAAATATGTAATAAAACAATTTCCTAATTAATCAATGTTTTCCTTTTTTAATTTCAGAAAGGATTCTGCCTGGGATCAGACTTAAAACCTTCGTATGACGGTGGGTGGAGGTGCGGTTCCTTCCCCTTATAAGATGAATTGCTGTAGTGGTAGCCGCGCACTGGAGGAGCGAGTAAGCCCAAGCCGCCTTAGCCTCCGGTGTAGTGTGAGCATCGTAGTTGTCGGTGTGCTGGGGAGGATGTCCGTGTTGCATCACTGCTTGCGTGAAGGGGAGATTCGCTCGTATAGGTGTAATGCAAATATTGGTAGCGTGCGTTACTTACGTGGGCTTGTGGGCCGTCCTTATATTTGAGGTTGAGAGTGACGTTCGATATGGGTCGCTGTGTAGGTAGTCGTGAGCACTGATGTAGTTGTGGTAGTGATGATCGTCCGTGGACCGTTGCTGCTTACGTAGGTGACAGGAGCTGTTGTAGTTGTAGTCGTAAGAAACATCCTTGATGCGTTGCTGGTTACGGTGGTAATGGCGGTTGTAGGTAGAATAGCGAGCCTGTCGTGAGGAGTGCTTGATTGAACTAGTAAAAGGGCGAGAGCGTCAAGCACAGTTCTTAAATATTCTCGTACGAGCTTGCGACGCCGGTCGCGCATCGGTGTTTGTTACTATGCTGATTATTATCGTGACGTTACTAGGATGTAGCCTTGGTGAATTCATCAGCATTGTTAGTCGGAATTATAATGTAATATTCGAGTATTCTGCGTAGTGAAATTTCCCGAATTCACAGAATTGTGTTTATAACGTAACGTGCAGGTGTTTATACCTCTCCCACTTTTGTATTCCGCCTTTAACTGATTCAATCCGTAACAATCCGATTTTTATGAAGTAAATGTTTTTAATTTGTTATTTAATTTGTTGTTTGAGCAACTGACTTTGACAGCGGCGGCTTTTACGCATACTAAGGCAGCAGCAACCCGGTCCCCTTTAGAAAGCTTCGGTACGACAGCGGCAGCTCTTATGCACCGATACTAAAGCAGCAGCAACCCGGTCTCACTTAGGCTTTCAGGCATACTACTATAGGGGCACTTCTCGGTAGGAAAGGAGTCGCTTCTAACACCACGGAGAGTACATACATTCTCCTCAGCACGTAACACAATTGAGGAAACTTCCCCAATTTATTCACTCACATCTTCAATTAACTATTTATTATATTATTATATTTAACAAAGGAAAGACGAGAAACACTGCAAGTAGTATTGAATAATTGCATTGCCCCTTCAACTTGCCAGCAACACCTCCACCCACCATCAAAGGGAGGTTTTTTAATCTGATCCTAGACACTATACTTAATAAAACCTTTTTATCCAATATCAAAAATGCAAAAAAGGAATTTGGGATAGATTTGTAATGTTGCTCGAGATTCCGAGAATTCTTTCGAATTGTATATTTCTGGGAAAACCCCAACGGCTATCATTTCGGAAAAAAACTCCAACGGTTATAATTACTGGGAAAACCTCCAACGCTCGTTGGAGGTCCGGAAAAAATTACACAATCGCATCCATTGTTTCTAGCACCACAATTGTTTCCTTATTGTCAGCTAATAAAGCTGCCGCGTGAATATTTAAGGCAAGCATACCATGAGATCAGCGCTACTCAGCCTTAAGTTAGTCACTCAGGAACACGTTCTGTCTTAACATGGCTATTGCACTTTCGTAGTGGGGACGCCAAGAAAGAAAACAGTCTCCCTTAGTTAGGTCATTATAAGGAACACACGTTCAATTTTCAAGTGCTCAACAGTTTACAAGCAGTCAAGGGTGCTGATAGCATTACAAGAAAATGTATGGCTACAGAAGCACGGGATCGAAATTTCCTTATATCGAGGCATGCCAGTAGTCTTTTTCCCAACAACCTATTCATCACAGGATCAGGTAAATGCAACTGTATCGCTGTGAGTAGGAATAGCCTTTCATTCGCTACACATCCCTTCAAGGAGCGTTCGCGCACCTTTGCTAATCCTTACAACATTAGCAAAGACCATGTTATTTACATTTCAAGGGGCTCTTTACCAAGGATCAACATTAAGATTGCCTACTTTAACTTATTTATAAACTCTATTATAATAATTAACTTTATTAATAAAAAAAAAAAAATGTTTACGAATGTTGAAATTAAAAATTACAAAAAAGTATATTTGGAGCCCATGTGAATATTTTCAACGATCACATTATCAATGTGATACATCGATTTTTATTTAAATGCTACCGCATACTAAATAATGCCACATAGAGAATGTTCACCTCTTTTTAAATTAGAATACATACATTGTAGTACAAATTGACTTGATTGTAAAGGCATAATACGTTATTGACATAATCAAAATATTGCTATAATCAAAACATGATCAAAATCGAAATAATCAATATATTGCTCTCTTATTTTATCGTTACAAATTTATTATCAAAACAATTTAATAATAAATATGATAATAAACGTTATTTTTAATGTAATTTTTATTTTCAGTCTATAGTATTTATATTAAAAAATGTATATTATTAGATATAGTGATTATTTTTAAGACACTAACTTTTTTTTATTATTATAAACATAAATTTATTTATAATACATCAAATGGTTTTATTTAAGTTAAATATTGCAAATTTTATTATGTTCTTCAATGAATGTTCCATACTGATAAGTTAATCTTCTGTGCTCTTGTCGTTTATTCTTAATTCGTTGATTGTGTTCAGAATCCATATTACTATATTTTAGATTAGTGAAATAATCTATTGGTAATCTAAAAAATTGACATATATTTCTATTCAATTAAATAAACTATATAAATTTAGATCATTAATATTTATTTATGTTTAATCTGTGATAATAAGTATTCTTAATTTTTAATTTTGATATTAATTATACATGTAAATATGAAATTGTATTGGATTTTATATGACAATAAAATTCATTCTTTATCAAATTTAATTATAATATTATAATCTTATAAAGTTTTAATTATAATATTTATTTTTTAATAACAAAATATTGTCAGCATAAATTGTCATTTGCAAAATGAAAATACAGTTGATTATAATATAAGGATTCAAATTTATATATTAATTATATCTTTATATAAATTTTTTTAAAATATATTTTTAGTTTTGTAAAAAATAATCTATAAACATAATATATGGAATAAACAAAAAATTATATAAAGTAATATTTAAAAATTATCATTTATTTAGATTTTGCTACTATATTTATGAATTATTCAATATTTTAAACAAATATTTTATTTTATTTATAATTAAGTGAAATATCAAATCAATGTCCTAAAGTTAACATACAACATTTTAACACTCAAAATTTTAGATACATATAAATGATAATTACGATAGATGATTTTTATTACGATACAAAATGTATAATATAAAAGTATTTAACATGTTTATAGATTTTCAAAATTCATTTAATTAATTACAAAGGATGACTTTCAAATTATATAGAAAACATAAATGAATAATTTCTTTACACTATGCTATTTAAGATATGAAAGCTGAGATGATGCTTATACTTTTACATACAGGTATGAACAACTATAAGCCATAAATAATATGTTTTTATTTGATTTAATTATTACTAAATTACAATGTATTGAAGAAATCAATCATTGATATATATACTATGGTACGATAGAATTACCTTGTATTTTAGAAATATGAAATGTATTTTTAAATTTTAATACATAAAGTTTTGTATTTGAATATATTATCATCATAAATATACAAAAATTTTAATTATAATGTTCAAATATATGTCGAAGAATGTATTTTATTACTAAATATTGTTCATGTATTAAATATATTTTTACAATAATATTTATTATTTATTTTATAAGATTGAAAACTTAAAAAAAAATTCTTAAATAATTTTCATTGTACATGCATATAATTTGTATTTATTTGTATTAAATTTTTATTTTATAAAATAAACGGAATTTTGATAACTAAAAATTTGGTTTCAAGTTGAATTCATTATAGTTCATTATTTAATTGAGTTCATTATAAATATTTCTAATATCTTCTTATAAATATATTTATAAATGTAGTAATTTCTCGAACATATAATTATTTCGACAAATTATATAAAGAAGTTACTAATGAGCACAAATGTAAATAAAGCAGAGTATAAAATTATTTTTTGGACTACTATATTGTCAAGAAAATTATAATTAGTAATGTAAATATAGAACTTGAACAAGATATATATGTTAAATGACAAAAAGATAAAATAAACGAATACACCGATGTACAAGTTAGAAGTTTGTGAAACTATGTTAATATGCATATGCAAAGTTAAATTCCTGTTTATTGTACCATTTAAGAGTTGTATGTATATAAATTTTAGAAGATTAAATAATATAATATTTATTTTATATTTGTTTTATAATACTCATTATAACACACTTCCATATTGTTGTATTGTACAATTATAATGTCAATTATTGAATTTTTTCTTATTATTGAATATTAAATCAATATTATAATAAAATATTAAAGATATTGGATCTGCAATATTTTTAAATTGAATTGGATTTTTTACATCATTCGTATTTATGCAATATTATTCATGTGTATATGTGTGACTTTGAAGGATAGATAATCATCAATATTATAATCATTATATTTTTTAAAATACTGAGACAGATGTACACATTACTGATTAAAAGTAAGATCACAAGACTTCTCGTAATACATTTAGATACCAAATACAAATAATACTAAAAATATTAGGTATTTATCCCGATTGCACTAAAATAAGTTTATAAAGAAATATTTTGAACAAAATAATGAGTTTAAATTAGAAAAAAAAAGAATATTTATGATAGTCAAAAACGTCATTGGTGAGTTTCATGTCCCTCAAAGACATAATCATTAATCATTTGATTTTCAATTTATATAAATACAGAAAAACAAAATATATATACAATTATTGTGAAACTATGTAACTTTAGTTATATGGGAACAATCCAAAACTATACTAAATATATTACATGATTTGTATATCAATAGATTCACAGCAATTTAAAACGAATATGAATCAATACCTAGAGTAATGTTATTCAGAAAACTATAGATATAATGGTTGTTATAAAATAATTAAGTAAATGAAGTTCTAAAAATAAGACCATGAGAATAAACTTTACCTTGTAAACTTGATATGATATGTAATTCATGTAATAGCGGGTGCTAAGTTATTATGAATAGTTTACTAGTACAGGCCAAGTTAATGAAATACGATTTATGGAATAGAAATATTTTTAAATTACTGCATAGATTTGATATATAAAAAATAAAAAATAAAAATATATAAATATAAAAAAATTTCAAGTGAGTACTATTTGATTTATTCATAAAGAAGATCCATTTAAACGAATAGTTAAAACAAATATCTAGAGATTATTGAATTAATTTTTAGTAGAAAAAAATAAAAAAAATTAAAAAATTGTAAATATGCATTTTAAATAATATATAAGCAGAAAAAATGAAAGTACTATTCAATAAAAAAGTAACTTCCGTATTTTGATTTTGTAGAATTTACAGTAAAAAATTATAACTCTATTTTGCTGGCAGTTAATCTTTGCCTGAATTTATATAAATATACTAAAGTCTGTAGTATGAGAATATATAGTAATAAATATTATGTGTAATAATAATGAAATGGAATAAATAAAAAAATGGAAATAATTTAGTGATTTGATTGTTGTTAGAGTTGCTTTATACAATTTAACTTTTTGGTATAAATATACAGATATAATATAAAAATATTGACTAATGTGTATATATGAATAATTGAAAACCTATACAAACTTATATATTAAGATTTAATCGTTGAAGCAATTAAAATATTCAAGTTAATATTATAGAGGAAATTATTCACATATGAATACTTTGAGATTGGAGAAAAAACTATTTATGAAATAAAATATAAGATAAAGAGATGAATGAACTGCTAAATGAAGCTAAACAGGGGCGAATAAGTACGAGAAAGAGAGGATAGAAGATATATGTAATAAAAAAACAAATGTCTATCTTTATGAGTAAATGAATAGAAGATACAATGTGTAAAAGACAACTCTAAATATAATTGTCATTATATAAACATATATTAATCTATTTTATAGCTTACGTTCATGTTTATTCTATAATACTAAATACTATATTAATTTCTTGATTAATATTTTATAAAATAAAAAGGAATTTTCTATAAGTAGTTAATCAGTTACAAACTAATAATGTAGATTTGTGAAAAGTAATGCTAACCAATTAAAATTTTTTTACTTTAAATATACTAATATTTACAATCTACTTGTATAATTTTCTTCCTTTGGAATTTGTGTGGTTGTCCAAATTGGAACGGACGGAATATGATTCTTGTACTGAGCAAATTTGACAGCATCATTAATAGATGGAAACAAAGTCAAGACATCCTGTTTGCTTTCTAATATATTGTACTTTTGTATAATTTCATATACTGGACCTAGAACATTAATTATCAACATTACATTACTTATTGTTATTGCGCATTTAATTTCAAATTCATGTATGCAATGTATAGTAATGTAGGAAGTATATTGCAATTAATATTTGTACATACATGCATGTATATATATTAATGTATATATTTTATTGTAAGTTGTGAATATGTAATAAAATATAATAATCTTTGTAATAATAACTAATGATAATTTATAAGCCTTTAATTAAAATATGAATAAATCCAGTTCATTAAATTATTCATTTACGGTCTTTACTATTTATTATATATATATATTATTGATATTTTTTTTATGTTTTTTCTTATATTTGCTTCATTTACAATTATTATAAGAGTTTGTTCTTGTAAAATGAAGTATAATAATAAATAAATGTCTGTGTTAAAAGTTTCGAGAATCCTTCCCAACTCATTAGACATTGGCAAAACCAAGTCGTTAGGCTTCTGGAAAACCCAGGTCATTAGACATCTGGAAATACTCGTTACACCCAAATAAAAATCTAATGATACAAAATCGCATACATTGTTGTCAAATCTAGCCATAGTGTCGTTTGGATATTAAGGCAAGGACGATTCAATCAGGGCTCCCTCTTAGCGGGAACGCCAAGAGATAGACTACTCTTCCTGAATGAAGATATTGAAGCCAGAGACGCTCTGATTGGAGACGCCAAGATAGGGCCGTCCCTAAGTAGAAACGCCGTGGAGAGCGGAGTACTTTTAAGGGAGAAGACTACAAGTCAGAAAGGTTCTCTTCATGGAGGACGGTGCTCTCTTACAAGAGACCCCGCGGAGGATGAACGGGCACCACCACTGGGTTGTCAAGGATGAAGAAAAACATTCTCAGCAGAGCCACTTAGGAAGAAGGTATATGCAACAACTTCATACTAAATAGAGCTTATATACAGTGCCCCGGGCACTTAGTAGTCGCAAGCCTTCCTCACCCATCTACATTACCAGACAGCTTCGAGGAGACCAGCAGTCAAGTTACTACCATATGGCACTACACGAAGAAGTGTAAACATCCACCACCAAGCTCGCCACGTCAAGAGGATCCGGATATTTACGACCTCCTACCTCTACATGTAGTGCAAGCCAATACCACGTGGCAACCACCACGGAACTACAAAATCTCAAGATTCTTATCATTAAAATGTAGTTTGTAAAATAAAACGCAATAAATAGTACGAAAAGCAGATGTTATCCACACTTTTCTCCCATCAGAAAACTGGTGGACTGGGTCTAATTCTAAACAGTATCCATTAGCGAAAAATTAAATTTAATATGTTAGTTTCATTAATTTCTTGGATTGAAGTAAAATATTTATTTTAAGTCCATTATTTTTCAAGTTATTACGTTGGAATATTGTTTTAAGTATCAAAACTATTATTGATCACCATATTTTATCACTAATATGTATATTAAAATATTTTTTTGTTAATTTAATATAAATTAATTGTTTTATATTAAATCTGAATTCATACAAAAATGCTAGTATTAATACTAGTTTACTATAATTTTTTTTGCTACGATCAATGTAATGTTTTATAGGTTTAATATTATACAACAAAATATAATTAATAGATTAAATTTTATTATTTAAAAGTCAAATTTTTTAATTCATAGTATAGCTATTATTGAATAATTGTTGGTATAGAATAAAATTGTTAGAATACTTTGCATTTATTCTAATTTCCGTAAAACAAGTATAAGAGATAAATTAGAATTTATTAGAATTTTGTATAGAAATATTCAGTAATCATACATTTTTAAAAGCAAAATTCTAGAATGACAATAAATAAAACAAATTGAAATGCGAATTAAAGATTCTGTATTTTTCTAATAAAAATAAAGTGTAATTTTTATACATATGCAAAAGTATCATCGTTTTTTAATTATATCAACTATAGAATCAACTGACTAAAAAATATGAAAATTATTATTTTTAAAATTAATTATTAATATTTTTATATTTTACAACGGACAAATTAAAAATTTTAAATTGTCTTATAATTTTTGTACTTGAATATCTAGACCATTAAAAATATTAAATGAAAATAGAAGAGAATACAACGAAAATTCATTTTTGGTATTATTTATTTGAATGATAAAAAAGTTTTCATTATTTTAGCTGACTTGAAAGACTTAGTCTTTCTCTTTTATCAATATCAATATGAAATGTGACAAGTAGCAGTGGGATTTAAATATAAAAATAAATATCTTAAAGCTAATATTCTTTAAGAAAAGCAAATTATTAATCAATTTCATTGATATTATTACTTATATATATATATATGTGTGTGTGTGTGCGCGCGCGCGTGCATGCGTCAGCCTATTAAAATTGATAGTTTTCAATTATATATTTATAGTAAATATTTATAACGTGTCCATTAAAGTATAAAAAAATATTACTAATATATTAGTTGAAATATTTTTATAAAATAACATAAAAAACATAACATAATTTTAAAAATAAATATTTCTCTTTATGTGTATCATTACAAACTATAATTATAATTTTTTTGTAGATTAAATTATTACCTGAGCATCCAGCGATATATACAAAAACGTCAATTTTTATATAATCATCAACAATTTCATAAAGAGTTTCTACACCAGCTATGTCGATATGTATCAATGAGGAAAAGTCCAAAATTAGAATCTTTAACTATACAAACATATTTTTTAATAAATATTTTTTATGTATAATTTGAGAATATAGAAAATAATTAAAAACAATAAATTTTTAGTTTCACGAAAATTTTTCATAAGATTAATATATTATTTTTAAATTTAATTATATGTATTAAATATTACCATTCAGTAATAAATCATAATCAGTTATTGAGATTTCAAGCATTTATTCAAATTACCCTATTTTAGTTGGATTTATTAAATCTTAATACTTTATAAGTTTACTTTTTAATTAATACTTTTGTTTAATAATATCTTTATACATCATAAGCTATATGCATCATATCTTTAAATAAACCAATCTAATAACAGAAGTGAAAATTTAATTTTGTAAGTTACCTTTTCAGTAGCTACGAATTGATGACTATCATTTATTTTACCTCCTTGATATAATACTTTATATGGTATAACACCAGTAATTTTACTTAAATCTTTTTTAAAATTTTGCCTAGAAACAAAATTCAAACCACCAGCATAGTGAAAAATTTTCAATCCTGGTATTCTTTCAGTCTAAATAAACAAATATAAAAATCATTTTTAATTTATTTTATAAATAATACATTTTTATAAATAAAAATGAGTTTTTGCAATATTTTATGAAATATATAATTATTAATTATATACAAATTTTGTGTACATATCTCTAAGATATTAAAATATGTTTAATCACAAATTTTTTATTCGTAAGAATAATTCAAATACTAATTGTAATAAGAATTTAACCATTGTAAACAGATCCAGCATTATATATATATACGTTACACACACAAAACAAAAATGTAACTGAATGCCTAGTATTTAAAACTTAAACATAATACTATGAAAAAATGTGTTTATATAATTAATAAGCTTCTTAACAGAAAATACTAATATTGAGTTCTTTTTCATTGGCAATGATGCCCCTTAATAACATTAATATTTAAATTTATTTTCAAAACTCTTTTTAATAAAGTATTAAATTATATATGCATACATGCATTCACATATATACATACAACAAACACATAGATGCACTATTAAACATATTCATACATTTGTTCATAAACATATGCATACATATACAGTTAAGTATATTCATGCATACACAGTTAATCATATTATTAAATAAATGCTCAAACTTTCATACAAATATATATATATATATATATAGAATAACACTTGATTAACAAGTAAATTATTAAGTTTTATTACATAAAAGAACACTTTTTACTTTCGATACCTAAAATAAAAAACTCTGTGATTTTGAAATTTATAGGATAAAAAAAAAATATATTTTATATATTATAATATATAATATATAAAATTATATATTATATAATATAATATTATATAATATATAATTATAATATATAATATATAAAATATAAAAAAATATATATATAACTAATTATATACTTTCTGAGATATACGACTGAAATATACAAATATAAATAGAAAATTACAAATTTTAGAAACATACTCCTTTAAATCTTCTAAAATCCAGATAGTATTCGGTACCAGGTAATAATGCTAATCCACATACGTATGGACGGCAGGAAAGAACTAATAAATTTGTTAAACATAAGAGAGCTCCGATCAACAAACCATACTCAATATCGAAAATAATGGCAGTGAGAAAAGTTGCCATCCAAATTGTTGCATCTGTATCAGACAACCTTAGGAATCGAATAAAATCCTTTACTTGCATTAACATACCTTTTAATGCTACCACTATAATACTTGCTAAAACACACTTTTAAAAGACATTTTATATATTTCAAAGTATTTCATTCAATAATTTTGATCACGAAATAAATAAAATTTTACAGCATTATTTATAATTCTTAATTGATGCTCTGCAGTTTTAAATTATAAAAGTAAAATGAAATGTATTTTTTAATTACTTACTATTATTAATAATTATAACGAAAATTTTAAAAAGAAAGTAGTTACTCTTGGCAATGCTTCAAAACATGGTCCAATCCATAACAGGACAAAAAGTAAGATTCCACAGGAAAACAAACTTGCTACTTGTGTTCGACCTCCCACTGTCTGCTGGATTAATGATCTAGAAAGTGAACTACAGAATGGCATGCACGAAAAAAATGAACCTATGAGATTTCCTAGACCCTATAACATAAAAAAGAAATATAACAAAAATATTACACATAGTAAATTTTTCAAATATTATATTCAAAGTATCATAATAAGTTTCATAGATTTTAATAAAGTATACTTATTCTTGTAATAATATATTTACAATAACTATTGTTTAAAAAGAAGAAAAATGTATTATTTTATAAATTTTAATAACGTAAATTGATATAAATGCTGTGTAAATTACAAAATTGCAGAATAACAAAAATTACAATTTCATGTAGTAATTCATTGCATCTATAATTATTATATATACATTATTTTATACAAGTACAACGTTTATTCTTTTATTTAAATTATTTGTAATGCATACATTTTCGTTATTTCATTTGCTCAATTAATACCATAATAGATGTTGTATTTTCAGAAAATATAAATTTTGTTTACAAGTCTGTTTCTGAAAGAAAAGTTTAATATGATAGAACAATCATATTTGATTAAAAGTAATAAGGGCTTAAATCGAGAAATATACAATAAATAATAAGATAGTTAATACACTAAAATTCAAAATATAATAATGTAATAAGTATATGAAGTACTCTCCTATTAAAGTCAACAGATTATTTAATTGTGCAATTAGTAACACACCCGTTAAGATAATAAAAATTACATTTTATAAATTAGGAGAATAAATCATTCTAAAACTTAAAGAAATCTAAGATTTTTATAATAAATCCATCACAGACGAACTTTTGATGCATATGTAATTATTAATATTATAACAATATTTATTAATGATTTATCAAAAAAAAAAAAAAAAAAAATATATATATATATATATATATATGCATACCAGTGCAATTAATTCTTGATTAGAATTGACATCATAATTTAATTTTTGAGCAAATGTAAGAGCCATTGACATTGTAATAGTATATGAAACCATTGTAATCACAAAACTATCTAAAATAATACTTGGTAGTAATTCCATTGGAGGTATTTTTGGTTTGGGAAATCTAAAATTGTTATTATTCTTAATATATTAGATACAAAAGAGAAAATATAAATTGTGCAATGAATCTCACCCAACTGGAATATTTCCAACTGTGATGATATTATAAACATTTTCTAATTTGAAATAAATCGATATAATAGTACCAAATATTATTAAAATCATCTCTATCGGCATAGGGAAAAGGCAACGTTTACTAAGTCGAGGCTACAATAAAAATATTTTTCAATAACTTTTTAAAATTTATAACAAATATATTTCATAGGTATTTTATTACTAATATTGAAACATTTTATTATTAAAAATATAGTCTTAAATATTAAAATTACCAACGACAAATCACAATGTAATAATACTTCTAAAATAAATAAATGATATAGCTTTGTTATTAAAAAGTGAAATGGGTATTTCTTGAAAATTTATTATATTTGATTATTTTGAAAAAAAATAGAATGATGATTTATATTCAATGAAAAAAGTAATTAGCACAAAAATAACAAATAAACAATATTTATAGTCGTATTTTTATAATTTAATTTCAAATAGTTAAATCACTATTTTCAATATTACATTTTAAATTATATTTTTGTTTTGTTTTTTTCTTTCTTGATTTTCTTAAATTTTATTAGATACCGAATGTCTATAAAAGGTTTACTTTTAGTATAAATTTACAAAAAAATTCAAAAACAAATAATGTATCTTATAATATATATATATAATCTTTTAAAACATTTGGATGTATTTGATATTAATAGAAATCAAGAGTATCGTTAAAATTCGTTAATTTTTTTAAAATTTAGTTTCTTTTTTCTAAAATATTTTTTTTATTTAACGAATATACGAGGGAATGTTTTGTTTTTGTAATTAAATAGCTATATTTTATAAGAATAATATGAAATTAAAACAAAAATGACTTCAATAAATTTTAAGTATAAATCATTTAAAAATTAATGGAATAAAATATTAGAAAAATATAAATAAATTTAACCAATATACTATTTTCTTTTTAATGTTTATGTACTTAACTTTATAAATTAAAAAAAAATATTTTATTATATATTGTAAATACCTATATTAAATATATTATTTCAATTTATACTTACCTTTAAAACTTTATTATTAAATATGATAATTGTAATTGTTACGCCAGAAATAATCATAGCAATAATATTGACATTATCAATATTCGTGAATATATCATAATAAATCTAAAAAAATAATATAAAAATGAATTTTATTATTTGATATTAATATTTTTTAAATCGTATTTGAAATGTATGTGTATAATATTTAAATAATACTGTGTTTAATCATAAATTTTCTTAAAAATATTACTGAGCTTTAGGAATGAAATATCTAACTATCGATAGGATAGGCTCTGTAGCTCTGTAGCTTTGGATATAGTAGCGGATCCTACTACTACAATTAGCAGAAATTCGTGTAGAGGAAAAAGTGTGAGTATGTGTAGCTAGATAAGTTAAAGTAAATATGTTCACACATATATTCTCATTAAAATATGATACTGAATTATTATCAAAGTTGGATTTTTTCAAGAAAATGGCAAAAAATTTAAATCATATACAAATTTATCTGTAATGATTTCTACAATAACAGGATACTTGTGCGATAAAGATGCTTTATATATGAAAATAAATGCAAAATCTTATATCTTTCGTTAGTTTTCGGTCTTTTGACTTTAATAAAAATAAAAGTAATACAAATACTATCAGTTGCTTAGTTCATACTTGTTAATATATATCTCCATTACTTTTCACTTATCTTATTCTAGATAAACATAAATATTTCATGTTTTCATATTACATTCATAGTAGAATAATTTAAGACCATTGAACACTAAATTATCAACACCGATTAATAAATATTTAGTTTAGTTACAATCAATTATTTAAAATATAATGATTATACATAAGCAAATCAATACCTTTATCAATAAGTTATATTATTTCAAATTGAATATTAATCGTATGTATGATGCATTAAGCTAGCGAAAAGTATTGTTTATCATAATCCTGAAATTAATTCTCTTGATTTATCCTGTAAAAAACATATCATAGTTTGTGCACGATACTCTATTATTATATTATATATTATAAACAACATTATACACATTATAAAATTATAAATATTATAAACAAAATTTTAGCTGATAAATCATAACAATAGATTAGCATATATAAGCTTAATGTAAATATTACTGACTGTATTGTGGGTAACTTAATGAATTTTAAATTAATGCTGAACACTAATGTGAATAAAATTAATATCTATAGTAGCTTAGGTATTTATAGCTAAAAATTTGTAATGATTTAAAAAAAGAAGTAAAAAGTTTTGCTTTAATGCAATTTTAAATAATTTAAATATATAAAGATATTATAAATTTCATACGTTGAATAAAGATTTATTTACATACTACATATTTTATTGAACAATTGATGATTATCAATAATCAGTTACTGAGTAAGATATGATGTAGCCTGAATTTTTTTAGGTAACAAAAAAACTGATTAATATTTTAATGGTTTTAGTTATTTTAAATATCTTACATATTACAAATATATAAATATGTATATATTATATTTCTATGTATGTACAGATGTATGTATATATCTATTAATTTATATATATATATATATATATAATATGTATTAACTTACAAGAAGAACTTTGAAGACACCACTACGCTTACATAATTTAAGTCCAAATAGATCCTTTATTTGAGATGTTAGTACGTGAACTGCAGCAGCCGTAGTAAAACCACTAATGAGAGCCTCCGATAAAAGTGAAGATATGATACCTAAGCGTAAGAAGTACATTGCCAACTGTTAACAGAAAATATTTTTTGCGTCATTTAAAAGAGGATATGTGAAAAGTTTTCGAATCCATATATATTTTTAATTAGTTTATTTTTCATGCATTTATATTTAACCTTTCAATTTATAATTAGAATGTTAAAAACTATACCTATTTCTAAATATGTGTTAAATATATATATATTAAATTTATATTTAAAAATTGGATTATATATAATTTTTATAATTATATTTCACAGTTCTAACAATCCCTTTATATAATAATGCTGCTTATTAGATTTACTTGACATTACTCATTAAAAATACTCGATTTCAATAATCAATAGTTTCTACATTGTTCCTTTTTTGACTAAAGTTATGTATGCAAATAAATGGAGCTGAGTATTCACAAATTCTCATTCACTATAAGATCAAATATAATAGACTATAATAAATAAAATGATTGATACAGAGGAAAATAATTATGTAATAAAAGATAACAACGGATAGATGTTAAAGTAATTATCATTTACTTGCATGATTGCAACCATAAATGTCACTGCAGTAGCGATTTCTATTTGTGAAATACTCGATGTTCTTTCGAAAAGATCAGAATTCCAGATTGATGTTGTTGAATTATTTATATCCACGTGTAATGTTGAAGTATGCGATAATACTACCTTTCCCACCATCATACAAATAACAGCAAAAGTACCTAATTAAGCAAATGTTATAATTTATTTTCATCTTTAATTTTATTTTAAAAAATTGTTATCATATATTGGTTAACTTATATATATATATATATATATATATGGTTTAAATACTTAATATTGATATAAATTATAATAATAATTGTTTAGATAAATATTTATTTCAGATTTTATCGACTAAAGTTTATGAAGATAGAATATAGACTCATCGTCAGATAAAAAGTCGTTAGTATAATATATAATATATTATTGTAATATAATAACTATATAATTATATAAAATATAATAAGTATGAAACAATAAGAATATATAAAAATAATAAACGATGCCTCCAACACATTTAAATTATTTTTTAAAACAATTTAGTTTCATTTTTACAGACATATACTTTCAAATATACTGAAACAATAAAAATGTTGTTTAAATGAAATTATAGTAATTAAATTATTTCATTAATCTGAAAATAATCATATATATAAATATATTGTATTAATACTAGTACATACAAATTTAAAAAATCTATTTCTACTTAACACAGAATGAAACCCTAATATTTTTATGGATCCTATTATAACTAATCTACCGAAGCATATATACTGTTTTACATTAAAGGAATGTTTATTTTCTTACATTTATATATATATTTAATTATTGAGCAAATATAAGTGCTTTTGACATTATGGTATATAAAACCATTGCAATCACAAAACTATTTTGAATAATACTTTAAAATATTTCTATATTTTATATATATATATATATATATATAATATATATATAGATGTATTTTAGATTGGGGAAATTTAACATTATCATTAGTCTTAAAATGTTTCATAAAAAAAAGAAAATATAAATTACACAATAAAAGATTCATCTGATATAACTAGAATGTTTTGTAGTGTCATGATGTCACAAAGATTTTCTAATTAGAAATAAATCAATATAATAGTACCAGAAATTACTACAATGATCTGTACCATCACACGTGTTAAATAATACTTATAATGATAAGAATATTTATTTTATAATTACATGTAATTTATATATAGATGTTATATATATATATATATATATATATATATATATATATTATATATTAATAAGAATAAAACCAAATTAAAATTTTGTACATACTGGCGTTTAACACTTCTTTTACACATAAGTTTTCATTCTTATTATGTGAAAGTTTCATTTGTAACAATCGGTAACAATATCTTTTCTGTTTTAAAATGTAAAAATATATTGGATGTAATAAAAAAAACATAAATCAATAACAAATAAATGTAAAAATTACTTTCATAAGTTACTACGGTGAGTGAAGAAAACATGATTTTAAAATAATCTTATGCAGATTAATGTACGAGATTATGAGACCTTTTTTCAATGCAATATAACATCTGGCAAAACAACATCGCAAATTTGTGTTTAAATTTCAAAACTTTCTTGTTCGCAACCATCTAACAATAGTGTCATAAGACATCTGGAAAAACAATACAATAAACACGGGAAAAATTCTCTCTTCAGGCATCTGTACGAATTCGCTCCGCTCGGTAACTACTTCAAGCAGTATGTACTAGCGGACCCCCATCCCCTTCCCGCTGTCAACAAGTTGTCATGTTGTTGCCAGATGCGTCAGCGGCAAAGGAGCTCTTCTTGCCGTGAAGACCAAGAGACGACTACGCCCTTAATTAATTATGAAGCCGCAAGAGGCGCTGCCCTCGCTCTGAAAGGGAGGAGTCTCTGATTGGACGAAAAATAAGGGAAGGGGTTCAAGTGAAGTTCATGGTCAGCAAATGTATTTAAGGGACGCATTTTTTAAGATTTAAACATTCTCGATACAGTACTTATTCAAATATGTGTCAAGTGGAAGTCCATTAACGCAGTTCAAGAAACCGCCGTTACAAGTTCAAAAGGATCGAAGACATATCCACCTATCGGAGTCTGAAGACAAGTCGACGATTAGTTTTCGTAAGTAGTAGCACCACTACAATACTCAGATAAAAACTTAAGATTCAGAATATACGTCATCGACAAGCAACCAAAGAAGAAGAGGCTCTCACCAGAGAGGCAGTGCGGAATAATTCACAGCTCGTCGTCAAGGTCGCATCAACTGATGCGAGACTCACCGGCCTTACCCTCACCTTAGTTCAAAGTCTGACGCTTATGAATTCACAGCATGCCATTCAACGCTCGCAGAAGACACAACAAGTAGCAGTATCCTTCTTGAGGTAAAAGCCCTTCAAACTCTTAATTCCATCTGAATTTATTGCAGTACGCCAATATCAGGACAAGGTACGCTTGCTACGCTACGAGTATATCTCTCAAGTGACAACAGTTACATATGTCACGCTACATAACAACCATAACCTCAATTACGTGCGTTCTCATCCAAACAGCGCGAATGTCGAATCAAACTTCGCTCCATTCTGCGCTCATATTCGAACCATCACGCTGCATAGATGAATATACGTTTGCCACCGCATTAATCCACCCCAAGAGTTATTTCAATAATTAATAATAGTAATATTAGTCAAACCTTGTCAACAAGTAAATAACAATAAACAACATATACATCAGCCATATTTATATTGTATTATTATAATATCCCTTCAACTTGTGACCTTTCATTGCTTTCACACAACACGCGTGGTCTCTGAGTTGTCAACGGCATCAATTTCGAAGCAAATCCTCCGAACCGGCTTTGGTAAAATAAGCGGGAACAGCAAATACATTTTGTACAATTAAAATATGTAAACTAGTGACACATTGTATTTGCAGTTTAACAAAGAAAAATAGCGTCAAGAATTTTAACAAGTTAAAAGTGCTTAAAAGATTTCTATATATTTAAATATAATGCATAAAATTGTTAACACTACAATTAATTTAAAAATTATATTTTAATATTTTGAATATTTACCCATTGAATTATGTCTTGATGTTCCAAATATACTGTAAACAAGCACGGGAAAAAATGCCATATATATTCCAATTATAGGTGGTACATTTCCAAGTATTGCATAAGCCATTCCTATAAAAATATAACTCAAATGTATTTTATTTTAAATTTACAATTTTTAATTATTAGAAATAATAAATACTTATATATTCAATACACATTAAATATATTATATTTTTTAAAACTAGAAATTTGTTGAAAAAATTAAAAAATCATAATATAAATGAAAATTTACAATTAAAAAGTTTTATTAAATTTAGAAAATTAAAAGAAACTTAATTTCTATATAGAATTTATATTTAATAATTATGATATACGTATAAATTATTTATTCTTATTTTATTTTAAATGTTATATCTAAAATTGACTTTTTATTCCTATAATTATGTTATGTGTTAAAATATAAAAAACTTAAAAATTTTAAATATAATGATATAGAGCAGGAAAAAAGAGACTAAAAAGCTCCTGCTTATTAATAAATGAAAAGCACATAGATGACTTGAAGATTTTGACAAACATCAGAGTGCATATGATTGTCAAATAACATTATTTGTTCTAAATTATTAATATTAAATTAATATTGTTTACAATTTCTACCATGATACATTTTTAAAGTAATTTAATAATCATGAGTTATTCATAAATTTATGTATTACTTTTAGTTGTTAATAAAATGGGTGCTATTATTACGCCATATTTGTGAATTGAGTTTTTTTATTGTTATAATCGTGCAAATTTTATAAAATTTTTTATAATAGATTTGAAATTTTTTCTATAACTATATCATAATATTTTATGAATTGTACATAATCTTTAACGATAAATTTGTTTATAGTCAATATTTATGGTTAAAGTGCCTTCATTAGCAAAACCTTTTTTTATATTGTAAAATCTTCCCATTTGGCTTGAAATAATTGTATGTATTCTTTTATATCAATCAATTAATTAATATATAATCCTATTATTTTACATATCTGAAATGTGCTTTTTATTATGAAGCAATCTATCCATCTAAAAAATCATTATTATTATTATGATTATACAAATTCTAATAACTATAAATAATCTTCAACATTTTGAAAATTTTGACATCAAATATTCAATTTTAGTACATTTGATATAAACATTTATTAAATAAATATACTATATTTGTTACGGATTACAGCAATTTACGCGGTAAACAAAGTGGGAGAGGTAAAGACACCTGCTTAGGTTGAAACATTGCGCGCCGAGTCATAAACACGATTCTACGAAATCGGAAAACTTCACTACTCAAATAGTCAAAATTACATTACAGTTTCGACTAACAAGGGCCGACGAACTCTCTAAGGCTAGATTCTAGTCACTCTAACAATCAGCATGATAAGAGTAATCCAGAATTCACCGGAATCGAAAGCCTGTACTAGGATATTTAAGGAGACGCGCTTGACGCTCTCGCTCTCTTACTAGTTCAATCAAGCACTCATCAAGATCGGATCGCCGTCCTACAGATCGAACCTAGCTCAGCGTAAGCCAAGCTAGTCTCGGCCACCCAACACTGCACTGATCGACTCCAGCCCACCGGACGCCAAACTCACTAGGCCCACCAACGCTGCAGAGATCGACTACAGTTAACGGAAGCCAAGCTCACGGCCTACCAACGCTACTACACGGATCAACCTCAACACACATAAGCCACGCTATTACACACGTTCTTACGTACCATCAATGCACTTAGATCGACTCCACACACGTAAGCTACGCTATTACACACGTTCTTACGAATCACTAATACACGGCTCCCATCAACTAAGTAAGCAGCAATACTAATACGTGGTATACGGCACAAGGAATACTCCCACACGTTAAGCAGCACGTGACACGGATATCATCCCTCCACTAGACCGCTACAGCGTGCATTTGGCTAGCGGCAACGGCATCATCACTGCCCCGCATCAGTGACATCACACAGGTGCCCCCCACACCGGCCGCTCCAGCTCTTTTGGCAGAGGCAAAGGCGGCACCATCGCTGCCCCTTATCAGCGCGAATCTCCCACTACCACTGCGAGTTCATAACTACGAGTAGGAGAATCAAGCACCAAGCTACCAAGAATACACTTACAGGATTCTTGTCGCTCATATTAATTGAAGAAACTCTCCTCTATTCATTGTATCATACATTCATTTCGACATCCATAGATCACTGACTATTTATTATATTCATTATATTCAATAAAGGGAAAGACACCACATTCTATTGGCAGTATTGAATTATTGCATTGCCCCTTCCACTTGCCAGCAAGCCTCCACCCACCACCTCAGGGAGGCTTTTAGTCTGATCCCAGACAATATTCTTTTATCTATATATAATAATAAATTTATTTAAGTACTTTCACCTGTTCTTGGAATCAAGTTATTATATATTATATCTACGTAAAAATCAACTCTTTAGTATTGATAGAAGCATAGAATAAGTTGATGGAATTACGAGCACCCACACGCGCACGCTTCTACACAAAAATAAAGAGAAACATAGGCAGATAAATAAAAGGGAGTTTTAAATAAAAGATATTTTATATAGGATTGGTGAATATTCAAATCTTATAGGTCGGTAATAATTGAATATTAATTTGTTGTCTTTATATATTATATCTATTGTGTTTAAAAAACTCATAAAATATGTTTTTCATAATTAGTAAAGCATTTTTTTAAATTTATTTATATCCTTATACTCATGTATTATTATTTTTGCTGGATTTTTAATTGTTTACTTCATGTCATTGTATATTTCATTCATAGTTTTTACTTAATTCAAATTGATTATTGGTTTGGCCATTACTTACAGAATTAAATGCACTTTAAATCAATATTATAAATACTAAATATTTGTATTAAATGATTATTTTACTAACAAAAAATATGGAATGTGGGTTTTTAGTGTGATATATTATATAATGTTTATACAACGGTTATCTAAATTAAATGAGATCGATGTTCTTGTTAATTTCAATTAAGATCTGTATTCAATTAAAAATGGATCATTATATAATAAATTTTATTTACCTTAATTACATAAATATTAACAGAAAGATTTGTTTTGCTATCATGTGTTTTTTATACATTTATAAACAAAGAAAATTATTAAGTTATACTTGTAGAATATTTTTTATAGAATATTCCATATTTGCAAATTCTTTTAATTTTTTAGTATTAAATTGTTATTTTGTAATTCAAAATGTACGTTTGAATGTACATTATCGAATATCAAGGCATATATTTAATTTACTTTTCTGATACTTTATAGTAAGTTGTTTTAACAATCATTTCAAATGTTATAACGTGAATCTGAATATATCTTTTCGGATTTAAGTAGATTATATCTATAATATTAGAATTAGAAAATAAAAGTGATTTATAAAAAAAAGTTACTTAAGTCATTATTAATTTATATTCAAATTTATTATTTATGACTGCATACACACACACACACACACACACATATATATATATATAAACACATACATATAAAGAAATATAATATAAATTACTTACTAATAAATTAATAAATATCATACCTTGAGGTATATGCATAACTGCAACTGTAATTCCAGCAATGAGGTCTCCAAAAAGATCATGTTTCCAATGGTATTCTGGTAACCAGCGAATTATAGGAATTATATCTTTTATATAAGATGTTGGTTTAATTTTTTGTAAGTAGTTTGTGATTTTTGTACTAACTGAAATATTAAAGAAAATATTATAAATAAATACAAAAATATATAAATTATATTTTAATAGAGTTCCTTTCATTTTGTAATGACTTATAATTTTATTTATAATATCAAATATTTAAAAATCTTGATAGATAGTTATTACTAGATGAATTTTATTAGAATAAGTTTTCTGTCAGTATAAGAATCAGAAAAATTATTATTTAGCACAATAATTATATTAAATAGACTGTTTTACAATACGTAAAACTTGTTTAAAATTTCGGTTATATGTTAATAATAATTCATTATTTTCATAGCATTTAATTTATTTTTACTAATTATTTATTTATACAAGGTACATTGTAGAAATATATTAAAAAATTAAATTGTGATCGACAAATATTAGAATAGCTCTAGATTTTACAAGAAATCTTGTATATGGTTTCAGAATTTTTCATATAATCGAGATAAACATGTACAGTGGTATTTATTTTTTAACTTGCTCATTTTTTAATTTGATAAACAGTAATAAAAAATGATTATTAAAAACTATTATTTTATAGTCAAGCAAGAAATATAATATCTACATATACTTACGCATTTTTTTTGGGTTTGAATATAAACCGAATTTATTTAAGTCATCTTGTTTATATATCGGACGTCGAACTACTACTTCCGACATTATTGCCGACATTTTTGGTCACAAATAATCTGAAATTTGAAATAGTAATTATTTTTTATTGCATTATTCTTATTACTGTAAAACTATTTAGTATTATTAAACTTTTCAATATACGTGGTTTCATTATTAGTTTTTTTTTATTGATATTCCGTTGTAAACTTAATTATGTATTTATTTAATGTTCACACGTATTTCTTAAAAAGAAATATTGCCTAAATAATTTATTTATTTTAATTTTAACATTAAAAAAATTTAACTAAATAAAATATTGACCAAGTAAAATCGAAGAATTATGATACTGTAAACCTTATGTTATATAAGTGTACAAGTGTGCATAGGAGCATATATGAGTGGGTTGTTAGTAAATCTAATTGTATATATTTGTGTAAGCTGATACAAAAATAAATTCAAAGTGTACATGTCATTGTAATGAGCTGATAGAACCTATAAAGTGCAGTATTATCTATTAGTTTTGCACTTATGGTATGTGGGTCATTCATAGTAATGTTTTTGATCTGAATACCTCACCAACTACACTTTTTACCTTTACGGCACTGTTATAAATACCGATTGTAAAAAAGTGTGCCATAGTGTAATTGGAGTCAATTGTCTTTTATTGCTTTGTTTAATAATCCTTCGATTTCAATTATTTTACTTTTGTGAATATGTATATTATTATAGGATCCCCTCATTCAGTCCTACGAGACTACGACTATTGATCGAACACTAGATACTTTCTATGTGGTTAAGTCTATTTAGTTGTGGTTATGTGATTAACTGTTCTTCCATTTTGATACTGCATACTGTATCTAGTTATGACTCCTACTTGTTAGCACTATATTCTCACGTGGATATTCTTTACCTTCCAAACTGTTAGTGAGTTGAAAGGAGCCAGAATATTATGATAATTTACGGCGTAATATGAATTAGATAAGATAGTTATTGTATTTTTTTTGTCATTATATTATTAATAGTAGATATTTGCGGTCATAACTAGTTGAGAATTTCACTAATAATGTCTTTTCCATACACATAAAGATATTTTTCCTATTTAGAGCGTGATTTCGATTACCATGTTGTAAGTAGAGGGACGAAAAAATATAAGAATTATTTAATAAAATTGTTATATTGTACATGATTTAGCAAACTAAGCAAAATAACATTTTCAACTGTTAAATTATAGTAACTTAAATATCAACCATTTAATAAAAATATTTCTATTATAACGATGGAAATTCAGGAAACACAATTTGGTTATCTTTTAACGAAACTAGTGTTTTAAAAACTCTTATCTGGTAATAAATTGTTAGAAATTGTTTGAAATACTATACATTATTTTTTCAAATTAAAATTAGATTTTGTAATTATTCAGAAGATTTAGTAGATTCTGAAGTTATAGGAAAATTTTCGCAAACTTCAATTTAAAAATACATGCGAATTTTTAAATATTATGTAACAACATATAAATTAATACAAAAATTTTCATAAAAATAGTAGAAATTTTCATAAGTATACTGTTATTGTCAAAAATAAAAAAAAATTATAAAATCATAATAACTAAAAAAAGTATGTTTGTTCAAATAATTAAAAAATTTGTATTAATTATATAGAAACTACATTAAGACAATATCTAAAATTACTTTATATAGTATAATGTATTTAAATAAAAATAATATATAATAACAATTTTTTTTAATCCCTAAATTAAAAACATTTCTTTTAATGTTTAAAATTTTATATTCCAGAATAACTATATAAAGTAAAAAATTTATATCCGGAAATATTATTTTGCTGAAAATCTACAACAAAATTAGATACATCAATTAGACACGTGATAAGTATATTTTATTAAGCTGAAACTTATTAAATAAAAACTAATTATTAAAATTTATTCAGTAGTTTTTCATAATAATATTTTAATTTTTTAATATGTTCTTTAACACTAAAACAGTACAAATATATTATTGAATGAAGGTTATAAAGACAGTAACAGCATATTTACAAAATTTAATATAAATGTATTATGATTAAATAAGTAAATTCAATATTAATAGAAACATAAATACTTCTGTATTATAGTTTTTATGTATCTGAATGAATTAAGAATACAGTAATGTAAAAAATAATTCACATTAGTATATGGAATGAAGTAAATTTAATCAATTAATTTTTTAACATTATCTTAAATGTATGTAGTTTACTATTGTATTATACTATTGATTTATTTTATGTTACAAAATCATAGAAAATACGGTATAAGATTTATAAATAATTAATTTCGTACGCTTGATAAAATAGTAACAAATCACTTAATAATTTCTTTATTAATAATTAATTTCTTTTAACGACTTTATTATAATAATCGATACCATAAACGTAAAAAAAAGTATTACGAAAATAAAATTATTATTTTGATGAAACAATTCAAATATATATTCAAATTGGTTATAATAAAACTAGTGGATAGTTTATGAACATTTTTTTTATTATAATATTAAATTTGAAATAATATAAAACTAATATCAAATATTAAATTATTAGAAATTTATAGATTATTTCATATATTATGATATATACAAATCATATAACAATAAACTTGGTTAAAAATAATAAATGTCATAATCTTAGAAATATGAATAGAAAATATACTTGGCTAAGTAAAAATGAAAACCTATATAAATTAAAGAAGATTATGGAAATAAATTAATATACAACATGAAAGCATAAATAAAAAAATTCGTACTTGCATATCGTATCAAATTATTTCTATTAGTTACATATTAATTATGAATGTAAAATATGTTTTTAGTGATTAAAATAATTTCTTTAAAATATAAATATATCAATATTGTTTTTTTATAAAAATTGAAATACTATATCATTAGATATTTGTGTAGATGATTAACATTTGTAAATATCAGAATTATTATAATTTCATAACTTATATAATTGTAAATATGTCGTAGAAATAACATAAAAACAGAAAATTATTAAAGTAAAAAATATATATTACCCAAAATACATTATATAATTATAATACATTATAAAATATAATACATTGTAAATATAATTAGATAAAACTACCAAAAATTAACAGAATACAATATTGTAACATTATTAATGTCGGACAAGATTAATATAATAATTAAAAATAGAATTTCAATGGATAAATTTTTAAAACTTTCAATTTCTTTCTATAATTTATATTTCAAGCTTGAAAAGTTATCAGAATAAAACTTTAAAAATAGCTATTAAATATCATTGAATTTATATTTAATTCTATATACATTATCATAAATTGATAATATATCATTATTACCATCTGTATTACTGATATTTACATTAATATTTTTTTATAGTATTACTCATTCAATAGTAAAAATTACATAATAATTGTACTGATGCGATTAATTGTTAATTGAATTATTATCATATTGGACTTAAATGTCTGATAAATAATGAGATGAATATGTCGCAGATATATCTAGCATTATCAATATGATTCTCAAAACAAAAATTTATTTATTTTATTTAATATATTAAAAAAAAATTTCAAATAATATATATATATACACACTCACAAATAAATGAAAAGAAATAAGAAAAATTATGAAATAACTAAGCTATGTACATTAGTAATATATATAATAATTAATAACTAATTCATATGTAAGACTTCTTTCATCCTATGATTATAGGTATATTTAGGCAACATTGCACTATATGTGGTGTCGTAAAGGGACATCGATGTAGAAACATAATTATAGACGATATAGCCTCAAGAAATGGAAAGCTAGATCAATTCTTCCACGTTGGACGGAAAACTAAGAGAAACTGTTAGCTCAAATAATAGGAAAAAAGAAACGTAGATACGGGCACTACTATATATTATATAATCAAGATTCGAAAGTTAATAAGTTTAAATCTTGATTATATACTACATAATAGTATATATACATATATATTATATACATTCCAATACAAATCAAAATTAAACTATTTAATAATATATGTAAATATTCGTTTATTTAATATTAAAATAAAGGCATATAAATAGTTTATTAAATTTATACATATATTCAAATAATATGAAGCTAATTTAATTTCAATAAAAAAATATATGTAATCAATTGAAATACAAATATTCATCAGATATTAATTATTTATTGAAATATAAAAAGTTAAATAATAAGTAAATTAATTTTCGTTTACAAGTACTTATAATATTATAATTTGTTCTTCAGATATTAATATTAGTGTTTATTTAAAGACACAATGAAACAATATTATAATTTTGTGTATTTGAAAAAAATAATAGATGTAGTAAGCCTGTATTACATATAGCTTTGAAAGAAACATAATATTACTTTTTTGTCGACTTCTAGTACGACTATTGAGAGCGTTTACGTAATGGAGTTGTGTACATATTGATTCATTTGAAAAAAAATTTAGTTAAAGCAACGATGCGAATGAACAGAAAAAGACAAAAGGAGAAAGAGAAAGAGAAAGAGAGTTTATATACAAATTTAAAGATGAATCTTTATTAGTATGCACTAAGGGAAATTTATCATATAACTATGAAAATTATTATACATAAATTTAAGTTTAATTAGAGATCAAAAGAACATTTTGTATATCAAGTGTTCAGAAAAATGACTAATAAAGAATAAATTAAAAAAATAATTTTAATATTAAATAAAATGAGATAAATAATGGAATTTTATGTAATAAATAAATACAATTTTATTAAGCATTACACAATAGTTAACAATAATTATACAATAGTTAATAATAATTATACAATAGTTAAAAATAATTACACAATAGTTAATCAAAATTATACAATAGTTAACAATAATTATACAACAGTTATAATATTTAAAGTTAAAATTATTATATAATTCAAAAAACGAATATTTACTAAAAATTAAAATATTAACATAAGAGATAAGTGAACATGTTATTTAATTTTGTGTAGTCTTATATCAGTACGATTAGCATTTTTATCTAGTAAATAGTCATATATTTTGGTAGTTTGTTGCATTGTCAATAAATGCATTTCTTGTATTAATGTAGTTAACATAGTTATAAGTCGACAAAATTAAATTTTGAATTTCTATAAAAACAGAAAATATATTACTATATATAAAATTTACGTATAAAAATATATTTTAAACTGGTTATCTCTATTATCTATATCTCCAATTAAGTTATGTATCATGGTTTACTAAAATATTTTTATCAAACATTCTACAAAATTTCTAGAAATTATTACTTTAAATTTTCTACATTTTTAAAATGTTTACACGTAATTCATTAAATTAAACATAACTTTATAATCTGCATAATAATTAAATAACGATATTGAAAAAAATTCTTATGTTTAAAATAAATTAAAAGAAAAACAAATAAAGAAATTGCAGTCTTTGATATAAGAAACACACGATACGTTAAAGCAAATACCACAAATAAAAAAAGATGTATTTTCCAAACTTTTTGTTAATGAAAATACAAAAAAAAAATTTTTTGGAATTATTTTATAATATATTACGCAATTAATTTACACTAAAAAAATTTATACAATAAAAAATATTACAATAAAAATATTTAAAAATATTAATTTGTAATTTTTACTTTTATTGCTCAAAGTATTATTATGTGATTAGAAAATTAAAATATAGCATTGTAACTTGTATAAACAGAAAGATAAAATTATTTCTTTATTATTATGAAAATAATTTCGAATTTTTGTATTCTAAATGTATTCGCTATATTATTTAGTATTTTATCAAATTCTTTATAAATTAAGAACCGTTGATAAACATTTAATATTTTATGAAAAATACTTTTTATTATATGACCATAGTTTTAATGAAATTTTAAATCAATAATTTTATTCTTTGCGAAAATAACTGAATATTTTTTAATATATTGCTCTAATAGATGTTGTATTAATAAGCTAATTTCAACAAACAATTTGAATAATATTACATTACGAATATATTTATAAAATATTTATAATTATTAGTATAATAAGATATAATAAGATTTTAAAAATTAAATAAAAAACTATAATAAATTGCGTACCTAGTTTACTTCAAAAAAGATTTCTTATTAGATTTATAACATCAAAATATTATAGTAAAAACTAGTATGAATAAATTATTTTTTCTAATATAAGAAAGTCCAAAATAATGAAATATATAAAATTAAATTTATAATTATTATTGTTTATTGAAATTCTATGAAGTAACGATTTAAAATTAAATAATGATAGCATGAAAATTATGATAGAATTTTAAATGTTAAATTAATGAAATATAAATTTTTTAAATTACCAATTGATTTTTAATTTAAAGGTAAAAGAAATTCATTTGATCAAAATGAAAAATAATATATATACGATATTTATAATTGAATCTGTAATTTTTATCTAGCTAATCATTCGCGTAAAAAATAAAACATTAAAAAAAATTGTTTAAACTAATAAAATAACTATATTTATTTGAATTATTTATACATATTCACTGAATATATTTCTTTCTGTTGAACACAACTTTTTTAATATAAAAAAATTGTTAATATTATAAATTAAGAAATAATAATTGGTACTCATTGTATAAATAATTTATAGAATATATTTAAAATTATGTAAATCTAAAACTAAATCTAATCGTACAATGTCTTCAAAAAATATGTACGATATCAATGATCTTATTGTTATATAACATTCAGAGAAATTTTTCGGAAATATAAGAATTGCTGTTATATATCATATAAGATGTTTTATTTAAAACCTTGAGATCTTCTATACTAACAAAATATTTGTGTAAATATAAATTTAATATAAAATTATTTTAAAATTTCAGAAATCATTTTTTATTAATGCATTACTTGCTGCATATTTCATACAAACAATAGTATAATAATATATTTTTATTTTTTTTAATTCTTCCCGTTTTCATAGAAATTAATAATAAATATTTGAGCAATAAAATATATTTCACCTTTAAAATGTTAATAATTTATTTCAATATAAATTTATTAAATTAGTAAAATTATTTAATTAGTTATATAATAAACAATGCTAATAATACTAATGTTGATGTTTATTAATATTATAGTCAAGTAATATAAATATTTTTAAAAATTCATTAAAAAGTAAAAATATCCTTATCCAATAAATTTATTTTATAAGAATTATTATAAATATATATAAAAAAATGTGAAATTGAATAGTTAAGACTTGTAAATATTTTATTTTGGATATATTTTTCAAACATTTAATATTATTAAATAGATTAAACTTGTTTGCAGAATTAAAAAATATATATTTAAATATAGAATTAAAAATTGTAATTTAACAAACCATATATTAAATTAAGTAATAATTCATTTCAAAATTCTTATTGGTAGAATCGAACAGTACTTACATTATTCTGCTAAATACTGTAAATTTTGTTATTGAATAAATAATGAAAAAGTTATTAATACTACTATGTAAATCATAGCAATAATTATTGATTATACTCATTTATGTATAAATCTGATGAAATTAAAAATTTATCTAAATGAATCTGATATTAGTAATGAAAGTATAAACTTTGTAAAGACTTACGGTTGCCGTATTAGATTTGAATGTATATGTCCTTCGTTGTATCTTTTATTTGTCTGCTCGACGTATTTCACAATTATAGTCTCACCTGTTTTTTTTTAGTACTGATCTAATAATTTGTGTCAATAGCGAGGTAAAAAATATAAATGGATCTTGATTTAAGTTTGATAAAAGACTGATACTAGGATATCGCGTTATAAGAATGTAATTAAAGAGTAAAATTTCCCATGTTACATCACTGTTTGACAAAAACACCAATAACGAGATAAGAATATAAAAAACCTACAAATTTTTACATTTAAGTAAATAATATCAGTACCATAGAATGTGTTAAATTTTTAATATTTTGTATACTATGTTGTTATAATATTTATTACATTTTAGCAATTAACATTTCACATTTATTTTTAGATATAAAAAAATAATATTTATTTAATAACTATTTTGATTCTATTTGAAAAATATAGTTACATTTCCTTAAAAATGTGCTTCTTTAATCATTTAAATATAAAATTTATAGAAGATTTTATTGTAATATTATTTTAGAATATACAAAACCTTAAACTAATTTTTATAAATGTTATGGATAGACTAATTTTTTATGAAATTTCATTTACATTATAAGTAATAATTTTATTTAAAATAACATTAGAAAATAATTTCCAAATATTATTTAAAGATGCGTATAATAGCCGTAATAGCGTACTATTGTACAACATATTCATTGATAATATAGTGATGTTCTAATAAACGAAAAGTTCTTATCATAATGCATCAGTATCGACTAAGCTTTCAAATTAATATTCAACCAATGTCGTTAGAATAAAAGTTTAGCTGCAAACATAAAGAAAATCATGATTATAAAGATAGATTTATAGATACAATAGAAAGAATTCTTTATTAGATTTAAGTGTCATTCCATTATATCACATTAAAAACTGATCTTTTTTACGATAAAAACTAAAAATTTATTATCTTTTATTTAATTTTATAATATTTAATATACATATATTCATTTTTTAAAAATTCATATATTTATTATTATTAAAATCTAAAGTCTTAAAATAATAAAGGTTATAAAAAATATTGTTTCTCCCTTATGGAATCATATTTGAATAAAAGAATTGTTAATAGGAAAAATAAGATTCTATTATAATTTATTTTTAATTCTTATATTACAAATTCTACAATCAATACAATAAAAAAAAATAAAAAAACTGAATACATCATTAAAAGTATCAAATATTAAATTTCTTACCTCTTATTTATTTTTCAGTTGGCTAAATAAAAATAAGTAATTTAAAAGCTTTATTGTTACGTTTTTATGGGGTATGAGTATTTATTAAATTCTTTTATTAAAAAATAACACTTTTTATCTTATGAATTCTTAAAATTTCAAATCGACAGTTGTAAAATATTACTGCCAATAGTACTTATAAACTTATTACATATACAAATGATATTCAAATTGTACATAAAATTTATGATAAATACAACATTAAACAAACAAGAATATATTATTAATTACATAATTGCTACATATAAATCTTAAAATATGTAATTTTTAATTTTTGTTCTTGTGTTTTTGTGCTTTATTTAAAAAAATTTGGTTACAGTATACACTTATGATTTTTATAAATTGTTTTTTTTATTAAATTTTGTGTAAATATTCATTGTTTATTTTTCGTGCCTTTCATCTTTGTTTACAGTGTTTATATGCTTATAGTTGTGTATACTTATATATACGTATATATATATATATCTATCTAAAATAATACCATATCTAAAAAAATACCATTCTACAAGATTTCACTTAGAATATAGCGCCTTTTACACCGTATCCTATTAAACTAACGTGGTTATTCATTATTGTAAAATTAAAAACCAAATACGTGTATTCAAATAAATTATTCATTATGGAAAAAATTTGGGATTACATATAATCTTGTTAAAATTTGTAAAATTCTAAGAAATTATAAATCAAGTTACTTTAATAATAATACTAATGGGTTTATTTATTCATATAATGTAAAGACTATAAGTTATCGATTGATATTTCTTGAAGCAATATTAAATTTAAGTCATTAAATGTAAGTGGAAAATTATATTTGAATAGTTTTTATAATAGAATAAATAAACTTAATTGATCTATATGACAATATTCAAAAAAATATTGGAATTTTATATTTTACAGTATGTATGTTATAGAATTTATTAAAAATTGTCAAGTTAAAGCTAGTTTCCTTTAATTCTTTTCCGATTTGAAATTATTATTTTTTATGTATAGAATCTTTTTTTTTAGTGTAATGATTTTATATATTGAATTTCGAATATTTTATTCTTAATATATAGTAATATAATTTGTGATCTGAAAGTAATCCAGTAATATGATTTTTAATAATTATGCTTTATTTTATATTATCATATATTATAGAATAATTTTTAATAATTTAATCATTTACGACCTTAAATATTTGATTTTGTATTTTATTAATATAAACTTTTGTATTGCATTTTCAAATCACTTAAAAATATAACGTAAATAAAATTTTAAGTAGTCCAGATTTATTAAATAATTTCTTTATTAAAAACCACTGTATTAATATTTAAAAGATGATTTGTCATTAGTCTTCTGAAATTTTCTGCTTATCTAAATATCCAGCGGGAGTGTCATAAAAAACTTCGACGAAAACTCTCCCACAGTCGTCGGAAGCTCGAAAAGGTCAGTACATCTGTAAAACACTCGTGAACAGTCATGTTATTTATTTGCGCATCACGATCGCGCTCATTGTTTTCTGGCGCGTTAAACGATCTTGTTGTTTGCTTGTAAGAACGTTTCGAGCCTGTTTAAGCGAGAATATTTATAGAGTGTTAGATGTACGTAAACTAACGAGTCCGAAAACATTTCCAAAAATTCATTGCAACCCAAAACCCTGCACGTGTGGCATCGGGCAATCGGCACACGTACGCATTCAACGTCACGAGACAATGCACACATTGTTATCAAGTATGCCGATTGTTGCCTCTCGTACAAGCCAATCGACGACGTTCGTCCAAGAGATCCCCCATGATGCTAAGTCCAAGAGAAGGGAGAGACGATCAATTGCAGGCACCCCTCCCCCACCGGAAGACACTTTTCCGATATTAGCATTTTCAAACCTAAGGTGTGAAGAGGTGGGAAAAGAGGTGCTGTCCAAAGACCGCGCTCTGGTTGGACAAAAAAAAGGGAAAGGGGTCCTACGTGGACACCAGGGTCAGTAACCTATTTAAGAAGGACAAACACAATATTCAGGGGCTCAGTCTGCTCAGTCTTTTCAGTTACTCATTCAACAGTCTCTCAGTCACTCACTCATCCACTCATTCATGTCGAAGTCACCAAGAAAGTGGGAAGTTCCCTCAGCTGAGTCCGAAGAAAGTCTTAGTCAAACACTCACGCTAAAATCGGAACGGAAGAAGTAACATCGTAATAGCTGAGTCCGAAGAAAGCTTGATCAGTAGTCTTCACAAGTCCAAGAGAGTATTAGCATCGTCTACGACTCTCATTCCTCAAAGTCACACGGTATCTCCAGCAGCCAGTACGAATCCATGGAGGTCATCCATTAGTCCGCGCGACGCGAGAAGCTTACGTCGCCCCTTCAGTTCCACACGGCGTTGAGTCTAACCTTTAATAGAAGCCGCTTGTGCCTAAGAGCACAACGCAGTCACAGTTTCCCCATGTGGCGCTACTCAAAGAAGTGGCGAGAGCTTTACAAGCTCTCCCTTGCCTCAGGATAATCTACCATTAAAGTACTACATCATAAGAATCAGGAACTTTACAACCTCTTACATCCAACCCAAGTGCACCTTAATGCCACGTTCCAATCGTTAAAGAGTAACAAAGGTTCATCTATAACTTCATCAACAATAATAATCCCTGTATATGGAAAATAGACAGAATAAACAGCAATAAGAAACATATGTGATAACTATTGAATCAATACATTAACCCTTCCACTTGCTCACGCATTCTTCCACATAACATCTAGTGGTCTCTCTTAGTTAATTCTAAATATATATATATATATATATATATAATTCGTTAAAACGATTTATTAAATATTAATTATTTATATTGAAATTTTTGGTACTGTGTATTGTTTGGGATTGAAACAGTTGAAAGCGGAATACAAAAGTGGGAGAGGTATAAGCACCCAGACATTTACATTTATAAACACAATTTAGTGAATTCGGGAAATTTCTTACGCTGAAAACCCGAATATACGATTACAATTCCGAATAGTAATGCCGATGAACCTTCCAAAGCTATATTCTACTGACGTCACGACAAAGTTCGGCGTCGCAACCTTCTACGATAATATTTAAGAGCAGCGCTTGATGCGCAGCTCACTATGTTAGTAATAATTACGCAGTCATTGCGACCGGCTCACTATTCTATCTACAAGCATTCATACTACAGTCATCACTAACTGTAGCTATACAAGTACGTAATTATCAAGTACTAAGCAATCTAACAAACCAATAGTGACGCCACACCATCAGAATCCGTTAAACTAAAACTTAAACTTACATCAAAGAAGCGCTAGTGCAAACATAAACTAAGAGTGAAATTGACGAAACTATAACTACACAGACATCAACGGATCACACCAACGGCTAAAGCAGCAGCGACTCAAGCCTTCCTTTAGTAAGCATCAGTTACAACAGCGGCACTTCTCACCGAAAGAAGGATTCACGCCTCACACTACTGAGAGTACACACATTCCTATCAGCACGTAAATTAATTAAAGAAACTTCATACATAAGTAGTTATGTATTAGTATAAATAAATATAAAAATAAAAATAAAAAATATAAAAAATATAAAAAATAAGTATAAAAAAATATAAATAAATAAAGTCACTCATACTCTCCATTCATAAACTCCTATAACCATTGACTATTATTATATATTATATTTAATAAAAGAAAGACCAAATTATACAGTCTGCAGAATTGAATAATTGCATTGCCTCGTCCACTTTCCAGCAATATAATAAATATTACCACCTCCACAATAAATATCACCAACTCCACCCACCATCACCGGGAGGTTTTTCAGTCTGATCCCAGACATGTATAAATATTTAACAGTACAAGCATTATAATGTTATGTCATTATTTAATTTTATTTTTAAGATAAATATCCC